CCAACAAGTTTAAGAAAAGAAAGACAGAGTTGGTTGAGGTCGTTAATGTTGAGAAGGTTATAAAGGTCGCCGATGTTGGTAATGTTGTTGCGCCTGTTGATGGGGGGACGAATCCCGTGAAGTCGATGTTGAAGTTTACTAGTATAGTAGAGTTAGAGGATGCGAGAGTGCAATCCGTCGAAGTGGACTTTCAGGCTCCGATCACTCATATCCCCGAAGTGGCACCCTAGGTCGTAGAAACTAGCAGTCTTGACAGATTAGGCACTAGAAAGTCCATGATATAGAGGCTGTTAAAAGCTAGGTTATCTTTTTCTTGGAAGGTAGTTCCTCGCCTTTCGCCCACTCTAGAGGACGGTCATCATTGATGTAATACTACCCCGGGTTTCCGGATCGAGAAATATATATTCAGTATCTTTATCCACCTTGGACTTAAGCATACAATCATCCTGGGGGTTGAGATCAAAGTCAAATTCTTTAATATTCCTCAGCAAACCCCGATTTTGATTGTTATGCAATGTTGATGGCCGGAGCAAGCAACTCTGCCCTGTAGAGCTTACGGGCAAGGTTAAAGCTCAAAACAGTATAGGAGCAAGTGTTTGTCTAGTCACCCTCAATCTCTTTTACCCCGATCGGAGTAGGATACCATATCACTTGATGGTAAGTGGAAGGGACTGCCCTTATAATATGTATCCAGTTCCACCTTAAGATCGTGTTATGAGGCGAAGACGTGTCTAAAACATAAAAGTTAATCATAGGATTGTAAAGGTCGGCAACGATCGTCAATTTAAGTCCCTAGAGTGATAGGTGTCCCTTCAAAACGCCATTAAAATCAACCAAGTTTTCTTGATGTCGCTGAGTAACCCCTTCCGCTCTATGATGTCTTTGAAGAATGGATTAACTCCGGCTCTGCCATCGATTAGGATACGACTCATCTTCGTGTGGGCTATCTGTAGAGTGTGCGTCATCGTGTAAAGTGCAAACTCGCGCCATGTCCAAATCCGAGAATATGATTATGTTACTATCAATGGGGAAAACTTTATTGACAGAGGCCACTATCTTCGGTTTCTTGCAGGCAAGCTTCTACTCTTTTTTTGAGGTCCCTAGATACTCTTGGGCCTCATAAATGCAATTGATATGTAACGTAGCCTCTTCACAGACCTTTCATCTTCGTCGCTTTTATTCATCTGAGTCAATCTTCTGGTGTCATCTCGCTTATCTTCTTTCGCCTTCTTGGCTGTGAACTCTCAACAATGGCCATAATCAAGCAAATCCTCGATGAAATCCTTGAGGTTTATGCAATTCCTTGTTATGTGACCTCAAATTTTTTGGTAGTTACAATATTTCTTGGAATTGGGATTCGAATTCGCCATAGGACAAAGCCTTGCATGTCTCTGTGATTTCATTTAGTACGTTGTTGAGGGATGTGTTCAGTAGAATGAAAAAGGATGAATCTCTGCGATGCTTTCCGCGCGGTCCGTCTACCTTGTCCGACGAGCGCAACATTGACGAAGGGCCAGACTTCAATGGTTTCCTATTCTGTTAGTATTCCTCATCTCAGATGACTATCTCTTCTGTCTTGTCAAAGCATTCTGCAGTGTGATATGCTCATACTTGGGTCTATGGAGCTTGCAACTGAGTTTAAACTTGATGGGAAGTCTCTTTTTGTATGCAGAGAAAACCCTCATGAATTCATCGCTGAGGATCTTAAAGTCGGTGATGGATTTGGAAAAGAATTATACGTACCATTTCATGGCATTTCCCTTCAACGTGGTAGGGAACATTTTGCACATTAGGGAATATAAGGCCATAGCTTTCCGGTACGACATTATATGGCATAAAGGGTCAGAGTATACCCTGAAATATTTCACCCTTGGCTGCGTGAACTTGTTTGGTGGCGGTTCCTATGCTAGAGCATTGGAGAAGGAGTCACCACCGTAGCATGATTTTATGAAGTCATTATTGAGTATCTAAAAAGTCAATTTATGAATGATTTTATGAATCTTCATTTACCCTCTCTCGGTGTAGAGCATAGAAGTCGTTATTGAGTATGCAGTTAAGCAAAGTTTATGAATGATTTTATGAATCTTCATTGAAAATAAGTAAAATGTATCAAAATTTGCTAGAAAGAGAAAACTGCAAAACAACAAAGACAATCCTCAACACCTGAAGAGTACATCGATCTGCTTGATTCTTCAAACTTGATATGCCTAAATAGGATTCATGGAGTGACAGGAGGTCACACCTAATACTTTCTCAGATTGCAGGCGTTCCGATGCTTTTAAATCTACTTGTCATTCATGGTGGTGAGGGTGTAACTACGTTTTCCACCTATCCTGTTGACAACCTTCCCAAATAGGATCCATCCTTATAGAGCATTTTCCATGGGCAATGATAAAGTCCTTTCTTAGGAATACGTCTCCAATCTGGAACTATCAAATCTTGGTCATTTATTGTAGCAGGAAATGAGTTGCCGCCCGATAAGCGGCTATTTAATGACAACTTTCTCGCGTTCTTCCTTTGCCAGGTACAGGTTAGTGGCCACCTCATTGTTTTGCTCCAAATTTGGCAGTACAATGCTGATGGTTGGCATAACGACGTTGGGATGGATGATTGCCTCGGTGCCAAACGCCAAGGAGAAGATAGTTCACCATTAACTTAACATTTGCTTGTATGACACTCCCATAGGAGCTTGTCTGGCCACTTCCCTTTCTTATGTATGAAAGACTTCTTAAGGCAATCCATGATAGTCTTGTTGGATGCCTCAGCTTGCTCGTTTCCCCAGGAGTATCTTGGTGTAAACATGTGATGTGGGCCGTTGTCAGTGATGGTGTAATGCAAGATTCCAAATAGGCAGATGATGTTCTTCTAGATAAATTTCTCTATGTATGTCTGGGTGATTATAATCATAGGTTTAGCCCCAACACATTTGGTGAAGTGGTCGATCGCTACGCTCATCACGTCTCTGCTCAGTAGTAGGCGGCATTGGTCCCACCGTGTCGATCGCTCACTGCATGAATGGGCAAGGGCTTGTCTGCGAATGGAGTACACTAGCAATTATCGCACCTTCATACAAGTTTTGTAGCGACTTGATGCATGGTTAGCTAGTAGTAGCTTGATATGAGCTTTATGAGAGAATCCTACTCTAGAGTGGTTGCAACAAACGCCTTCATGGATCAAGCTCAAAACCTTCAAGTCTTCAAGAGGTGCTGCACTTTCGTGCTTCTTTCGGTAAAAAAGTTTAGCTCCCCAAGAATTAGGCCATGGGCCAAAATCCTTCAGTTAGCTAAGTCATGATGAAAACTATTGTGACTAATTCCGGGAAACTCTGGCACAAGTCGTCATGCACCCATTTACACCAGAGCAGCCAAACCCATCCACGTTTGGATATTTGGGCATTTTACCTTCTCCCAGAGGAGAGTAAACGCTGACAAGAGTGTAAAATATTAGTTTAACTTCTCCTGGAGGAGACTAGGCCATGAGAAGGGTGTAAAAGGTGAGTCTACCCTCTCTCGAAGGAAAGTAGACACAAATAAGGGTGTAAAAGGTCAACTTACTCTCTCCTGAAGGAGAACAACCCCTAAAAATGTGCAAAAGATTTGTTTACCCTATCTCGGATGAGAGCATGAAAGTTGTTGCTGACTATGCAATCAAGCAAAGTTTAGGAATGATTTCTCTTGAAAATAAGTGAAATGTATCAAACTTAGTGCTAAAAACTATTTAAAGAGAGGTATATACACACAGCTATCTACAATAACTATAACTTTTAAATTATAGCTAGCTACGTAATATACTAGTACATTAACTATTAAACTTGCTCAAGAAGCAATTTCAGACCCCTGTTTATTTCTCGAAAAAACGTAAAAAAAAAATTATTCTAAATAAAGCATGTTATGTATGATAATCAAAATGGAGAATGCCTCATAATCAAAGGGTCAAAGGTACTTACAGATGGCTTCGGTAAAAACAGTCACCATCCCTACAAGCAATGTATCCAAAAAAGAAGAATTAGAAATTGGTGATCACATATACCTTCTGAATTATAAACCATTTCTAAAAATTAAAGAAAAAAAAGGTGTGGGAATGTGACGATATATGTTTCTGAGTATACTAGAACCCACATACGTTGAGATGGCTTCTAATGTGAGATCCACGTTGATTGTATTCTTCCTGTATCAATCGGCAAAGAAAGATGTAAACAAGCAAACTAAAGGTCCAGAGAAATTGCATGAAATAAAAGAGATTGCAAGTATCCTAATGTAGTAATGGGGTTCTGTAAAGATGTAAAGCTCTAAATCCTTTCCCTATTCCCAACGTTGTAAACAGAGAACTGAACACAATCGATTCTGAAATGATAACAGAACGTTGTTTCAGCAATCGATTCACAAGAACAAAATGCACCATCAGGTTTGATTACTGTGTTGACTTCTAATGGGATGCGGAATGTAAAATCTTGGTTTTCCCCTCTCCGTTTCTTGCTTACAAAGTCTTTGGCTCTTGACTTAGAGACAGAAGACGGAAGTTGTGGAGAAGATGGTCCTACTAAGAGTCAAAGTTTAAGCCCATACTATCCTCAGCGAAATTCAAATATGCAATAGCTTGAAGAGCATTGGTGGAACCTAATAATTCCATTAAATTACTAAAACTCAGCATTCTCATATAACAGCATGAATTACAAAGACAAAATGGAGAAAATGCACCTTCAGGTTTGATTAGGATATGTTTGGTTGCTAAGAATATGTAGGCTAAGAAAAAGAAGTACAAGGGTAAACACGAACACAAATAAAGATTGCAACATCGAAATACGAAAAATTGTCATATTCTTGTCAATCAAACCAGATTCCTACACCCAATAAATCCAATTTCAATTAGAACTCAAAATTACAAAAAAGGCAAATTAAACCCAAGATTTCAAAGCCAAGAACCCCAAATTGCCAGCCCCAAATAAACCCTTAATTCGAGGAGAGAGAAAGAGTACAAGTTCGAAAGATGAAATTTTGTACCAGAAATGCCCAGTGATCGTTGCTGTTCTTGAGAGCCATATTCTTGTCGATCAAACCAGATTCCTACACCTAATAAATCCAATTTCAATTAGAACTCAAAATTACAAAACGGGCAAAATAAACCCAAGATTTCAAAGCCAAGAACCCCAATTTCCCAACCCAAAAAAAAAACCTTAATTCGAGGGGAGAGAGAGAGAGTAAGTTCAAGGAGATGGATTTTATACCAGCAATTCCCAGCGATCGTTGCTGTTACTGAGAGCCATATTCTTGTCTCCTTCAACTTCTTTGCGCCGCTGGAAAGAACCTCCAAAAGCCTCAGGCGAATTGGCTTCTTCTTTCATCCATGACCATCCTCCATTTTTGCTTCTGTTTTGCTATTTTGGAAGGCACAGTATGTATGCCGTTTCAGCTTTCAAAGCTGCGAGACCTCCCCCGACGTAAACGGACGGCGCAGGACCGTGACTGTGAATGGAGAGAGCGAGCTTCAACTATTTGACCGTTGTTAGTGGAATTCAAATTTCCACGAAAACAAAAGGTTCTCACATTGGTAATGGGCCGGGTTCAATTTGAAGTCCGTTTCAAAATGGGCTGTTGGGCTTAATTTTGGCACATTGTATTTTTAGAGGTTTCAAAATTATACCAATATTTGACAGCTCGTGTAAGAGACCGGATAAGACTAAAAATATAGACCCGTTTGCTTGAAGAGGTTTTTCAGTGTAAATGGAACACAGCCGAATACACCAACTGTCATAATACAAGTGATCGGATACCTGAAAAGAAAAAAAAAAAATTCCAATCATTTACATTATGATACTTCAGAGGTACACAAAAAAATTTCTCATTTATCTTGCCAAAATCATTGAACAACCTTGACATTTTATGGTACCCATACATGTTGCGAGTTCATTCATGTCTACTGGGAAACGAACGTTGTGACGGACGGCCTTGCCAATTGAAGTTATTACATGAATCTTGGGTATCATTGTTTTGAGAATCCACCTGAATGGATTGGAACTCATTTATTTGATGATTTGATCAGAGTCTTCAGGACTCGAACTATTTATAATAATTTATGGGGTAATTTCATTCTGCAACCTCAAGTTTGAGTACAACTGCAAACTCATACATCATCCTTAAAACATTGTAATGTCATACACAAACTTTCTATTTCATTGCAATTTCATACATCCATCCCAATTTCTGTTATTTCCTCCATTATTTGCCTATTTGGAAGTCGTGGACCCCACATAGTTGTGCCACATGGATAAAAAATAACTTTAAATGTTAAAAATTAGAAAATCTCATTTATGGAAAAAAAAATATATAAAAAAAATAAGGAACGCTTACTGGATCTCCCATTCTCATTGTCCACCGAGAGTAAATATGCAGGTCATGAAAACGTGTCTCAAAATGTGTGTCTAAAATGGTGTCCCCCCAATTCTAACTCTTTATATAGAGAGATAATTAGATATAACTCCAAAAACATAATCAATTATTATGGCACTGTCTATCCCGCTCCTTCAACGGCGGAGCGAGATTCCCAACAAATTGTACAGATTTGTGCCGTCAAAGTTGTTTGGAGACTTGCAACCGAGTTCCTAGATTAGAAAAATCTATCCTTACAGCGTGGAGAATGTCTTAGCTTTTATGACATCCAAGGGCTATGAAGAAATTTCAAAGTGAAGTAAGGGCAACATCGCCGGCTACAAAACAAACATAACAGAAGATGTTGGAATGCACTACTTCAAATCACTCTAGAAGTAAAACTCAGACTATTAAGCATCTTCCCTTTTTATAGATAGTATATGTAGAGAACAAACTGACAATCCAAATCATTTTATTCAAGCATTTATACACACACACACACACACACACACACACACATATATATATATATATATATATATAATTTCAACAAGAAGAAACACTGTCTTTCGAAACTAACTTGAGAGGACTTGGTGCTCCTTGTTTTGCTACAGGGCCTTCGGAGACCACATTATTTATCGGCTTATAGCAAAGACCATAATTTTTAGTAGGCTTAATTATATGGGCACGGGATCGACAAACAAAGGAACAATGGAATCCTTAAGCACTAGTTCGGCATGAGTAAAGCCATCTTCATACTTGTATATAACTACATTGCACGTGCAAGATTGAGAATTCGCAACAGAAGGGGCCTAGGAATGGTGGGAATCAGCCATTCTTCGTTTATGTCCTTCCATGCATCATCACCTGTTTGGTGAATTCGAGTGTTGTTTCTTCTTCTGTGGCACCATGTTAGGTCATGTAGCATTCCACAGCCGATGCAATATGTCCTCTCTTTTGCTCAAACTACATATACATACATACATGCATGAATTTTAAGGTTAAAAGAGCTTTTTAACTGTTAGATCTTGATTTGTGTGTGTGTGTGTGTGTGTTTTTATATATCAAGGATCTAAAGTGAAAAACTTAAATCCCCCAGAGTATCCAATGCTCCGGATGCTATAGAAAATCCCATGTGATTGTTTGTCTAAGTACAAAATATTGTTTTACGAAAAGAAAAAGTTGAGAATAAAAATACTTTAGTCTACGAGTAATGTTATTCGTACTATATTTACTAATGAGCATCTCAACTAAAGATGGATCTCACATACATGGGTGAGTCGCTTCTCTATTATTGAGTAATGTATTCAGTAAATATTCTACAAATATCTAGCATTACTCTAAGTATATTACTCATATATCACTAGTATATATGCGTTTATAGATATTAGTATAGGTACGAACCTTGTGGGATTTCATGTCATCCATGAGTCTGCCAAGTAGTAATAAAGCGTGAAAACTCTTAGAGTCATTGAAAATCCAGTCCAAGGAGTCTTTTATCACAATATCTGCCATTCCAGCAAATGACACGACTGATAGCAGAAAGTAGGACGTGGTAAGTGCTACCGACATATATTCATCCATTTTTGGTGTGTAATTTTGGTGCAACCATTTGGCTTTCTCGAAGTAAGCTCGAACCAGAACCTTCATCTGTGAAATCAACACGCAGTCTCTAGTTAATTACTTTCCGTATGTAATCTGATGATAATACAATTACAACATTATTTTTCATGATCAATTAAATTTGCTAATAAACAAGATTAATTTAATGGTGTAGTGGTATTCATATAATTAACTTATTATGTGGTTTAAGCTCAAATCTCACACCCCTGACTCTATATCATGAGTTTTGGTAACTTTCACGGTAGTGGTACAAGTGTGACACTGAAAGTCAATGAAGTATGGTGAGTCATTGAGACTCCCAGAAGCAATATGAGATTTGAACATAAAAAGTAAAAAAACCACAACAGGCCTTTTGAGCAATTGTTATGAGGCACTAAAACGTGGTATGATCAATTCATTTATATCATGATAATACTTTGATATGTTCTTGCTACTATAATATACGCATATATTCACTTTTAACACCTTATTATAATATGAAGTGAATGTGCTCAGTTGAAAATATTAAAAAGTTTTACTGCTTCTGTCGCATAATGAATGCCATATAACTTCCCCTCTTTTGTAAGCTTTTCTTCGATTTCAATATGTTCATCCAACATAGCTTGATAACAGACTTTCATATACTCCGACAGTTGGTCCATGACTGAGATATCCCACCTGCAGGTGATTAAAAAAAATTAGTAAGACCTTCTCGAGTGATGATTATATTTTGAATCAGTGTTTAACTAAACTTGTAGTATTAGTATGAAATTAAAAGGATAATTGACTGTATTAATATATAATCTATGAACCTTTCAACAGCTTTAGTAAACAGTTCTAGTTCTGCATATATTCCATACGCATCATAAATGTCATCAATAGTGGTAATCATAGCAATAGCTTTGTAGAATATTCTCCTAGCAAAGTAATGCTCCGGCTCGAAGAAGACTCCCAATGCCCAAAAGTAGCATTCAACCACTCTATTTCTTATAAAAGGTAATTTGTTTACAAAGTCCAAATCCTTCCACCACCTGCCAATTAATAAATAATAATAATGGAATTAGTCAATCCAATTATTATTTATTGTAACTTTTATGTGTAACACTTACTAATAATATATGTAGCCATAGAGAATAACAGGGCATAGTTTGATTAGTGTCAACAAATGTATTATAGTTTTATGTGTCCAAATAGCGTTATTCACACATTTACCTTCACTATTGTAAGAACTGACATGTCACTACAAGAAAACAGCCACTAAACAAGTGCGATTTCTGTGCTTTTTCTTGTAGCGTGTATATGGCTTGTGGACGCAATCAGAGTTAACCTTGTAATTTCACTTAATTCTTTCTGATGGACTTGCTGCAACAGATTGAAGTCCAACTTTGCAAAAGTTAGGAGAGTTTGATTTACTGAATGACCACGTTCTTCATAAATAGACAAGTAACTCCTTGCTTCTAGCCTAGTGAAGCCCTTCCGAAATGGTTGATACAAGGCATGAGTTACTTGTTTCGAAAGTAACGAACTTAAACGGTGCGCTTCAATCGAAGATTCAAGATGAGCGGTGGTGAAAGTTAGTGCTTCATCTAGCAAGTCCTCTCCGTGAACTCTAACATGTGCGGCTTCGAACAAGCTTAATAGCCGTACTGCATCAGTTGCAAGTGATTCCTTGAATTTTCCATGGACGTCCTTGAACTTATTGAACATGTCTGCTAGCTCCGCCAAATACACGTGTTAACGTAAACAAAATTAGGGAAAATCCAAAGTTATAAACATTATTAATTAACAAACCATGACCGCAAAGAGAAAACTGACCACATGAAACCTTAAAACCTTGTTGTCTAACCAACCGAAAACGGAGAGTTTTCTCCGCCATCACCTTCATGATAGCTCTTGTGAATTTGCTGCAAAACTTCCTCAATCTCATTTTCGAAACGGCGGGAGACACCTAATTGCTAAACGTTATTGATTATGTTCAATTTTTCGGAAGGCATTGATGGAGCCATTACCATCCTCTTCACTTTCTCTTTCAGTTCTTGGACATCTTTCTCAAGTTTTGTATCTATTTCCTACGTAAACAAATTAAAAGGATGTTAAGAAAAGTATGATGTTCAAGCATGGTGTATGAAAATTAAAAGTACTTATCAAAATTAATCTACAATAACAAAGTATTTATTCTAAATGTAAGTCGCAGCTATTAACAGCCCATTATTAATTAGCATTATTAGGCATAATTTTCTGTTGGAAAATTATTTATTATTTTATTATTACTTATGGTTTTCTTGTGGACAAGGATATTAGAGTTTCTTACCCGTCAAGGATTAGGGTTTTGCTTTAGTTTTCATTATATATAGTAGTGATTGTATTAGTTTATTTCATTAAGTCATTTGCAATGTAGCATCTTGGGTTATGTAGCCGTCATGGCAATCTTTCGTTCACTTAATAAAATTATATTAGTT